TGCAGCGGTGGGAAAGCTCCCTTAGCTAGTCACGGCTTTAGGCTGTGTGTGCCTTTTGGTGTTACTGGTTATTTAGATCTGGCTTTTGCTGCTGATACCACTATGCTGCGTTGTCTGTAGTTCAGACTTATTTTCATGGTCTAAACTGACCAAGTAACCTTGAGTTGGTCCAGTGATTAGCTGTTAATTTCCATTTTAATTGAGATCATTACAGGTTCACATGTATTGGGTTGTTAGGAAAGTCATGATGTAGTTTTTCTATGTTTTACATTGCAAAAATGTGTCATGACTTTCCCGACAACCCAATAGCTGTAAAAATTACACAGACACTGCCTGGCTCCCCCAGTGGTGACAATCTGCAAAACTAAGTTTAATCGCACTCCAGGATGCTGGTGTGATGTGATCTTTCGGCCTTCTCCGATTTCCTGTTTTACTTTCACGTGCTTGCACGCACGCAGTTTTATCACCTGTGTTGGTTTGTGTGTCCACCACGAGAGTCACCATGCTGAGCATTTCCAACAACACAGGGACCCTCGTACTGCCCTTTCATAGTCGCAGTCACTTCCCATTGCTAACCCCTGGCAGCCACCAATCTGTCTTCCAATTCTAGAATTTCATCATTTTAAAAATGCTATATCAGTGGAGTCATGCCGTATTAACCTTTGGGTTGTTTGCAGACTTGGGCCACTGTGAATAAAGCTGTTGCAAACAGTTGTGTACAGGTGTTTGTGTGGACATAGGTTCTCATTATTGCAGGTAAGCGCCATACCTAGCAGTGGAATTGCTGGGTCATGTGAAGTGTTTAACTTTTTAAGTCCCAGCAGACTGTTTTCCAAAAGGGCTGCCCCATTTCCCATTCTCCGCACCTAGGAGAGTTGGTGTTGGTTCACATCCTTACCGGTACTAGATATAACCCATCTCTTTAGTACCAGCCCTTCTAGGAGATGTGTAGTGCTGTCTCATTTTATTTGCATTTCTAAATGACTGATGATGAACATCTCATATACTGTTGACCATCTAGATATCTTTTGAAGCGTCCAAGTCTTTTGCCCATTTTTCATCTTAATAACTGAGCTGTGTATGTTTTTGTGTGTTGTGGGTGGAGCCATCTTTCAGGTGTATGTAGCAGGCGTGTTCCAACTCGTCCTGTGGCCGCCTAGGTGTGGGTCTGCCGGGGCCTCTGTTGTGCTGTTGCCTCCTTTTCGTCGGCACCAAACAGCCTGGGTTCGCACACACTGACATGGGCATGTGTTGAAGTCAGGTAGTATACATCCTCCAGCTTTGTTCTTTTTATTGACATTGCCGGGCTAATCTACGCCCATTGCGTTGCCATACTAATTTTTAAGTCAATTTGTCATTTTCTACAAAAACGCCTGAAGCTTACATTGAATCTATAGGTTAATTTGGAGAGAATTAGATCGCGATCATCTGAGCCTCGTAATCCATGATGAGTTGGTGAATCTCACTTCCTTAGACATTTCATTCTCTCGGCAGCATGTAGTTTTCAATGTGGAGGTCTCGTAGGTCTTTTGTTAAATTTTACTCCTAAATAATTTTATGGCTTTGGAGGCTGCTGTGGGTGAAATTTATATATACAGCAGTCCCCACTCATGCATGGAAGTCACGTCCACAACCCGCAGTAGCTCCCTGCGTGGTGGATAGTACCGAATGCTCTGTACACGCACCTTGTTGTTTCTACACATACACACTTGTGGTGAAGTTTAATTTATAAAGTGGGCACAGTAAGAGGTTAACAGTAACTAGTAAAGGAGAACAGTTATAACAATATGCTGCAATAAAAGGTGTGTGAGTGGCTTTGGGGCCATTATGAGCACAATCAGGGTGACCTGAACACAGGCGATACTGTGACAGCCGATCACCCAGACCAGCGGTTCTCAACCTTCCTAATGCCGTGGCCCCTTAATACAGTTCCTCATGTTGTGGTGACCCCCAACCATAAAATTATTTTCGTTGCTACTCTATAACTGTAATTTTGCTACTGTTATGAATCGTAATGTAAGTATCTTTTTGTTTTCCGACGGTCTTAGGCGACCCCTGTGAAAGGGTCGTTCGACCCCCAAAGGGGTTGCGACCCACAGGTTGAGAACCGCTGACCCAGACGCTCACCCAGACGGTTACTGAGCGATGGATGGGCGGGGGCACAGGCAGCAGGGATGCTTTGGATGAAGGGAGGATGCACGTCCTGGGTGGGATGGCATGAGATTTCATCACTCTGCTCAGGACGTGCAATTTAAAACTCCTCAATAGTTTGTTTCTGGAATTTTCCATTTAACATTTTTGGTCCGCGGTTGACTGAAATCGCGGAAAGTGAAACCGAGATGGGGGACTTCTGTAATAAAATTTTCTAATTGTTTACTGCTGTCAAAGAAAAATAGGTTGTTTTAAGTATTACACTTATATCCCGTGACTTATTCTAGTTGGGTTTTGGTAGATTCCTTAGGATTTTCTATGTAAACAACCAAGTCATCTGAATAGGGACAGGTTTATGTCTGTGTTTGTTTGTTTAAAAAATCTGCCATCCTGACCCAAAACAGGTCTTTTATGGTCTTTTTAGCCCTTTCTTGTTGCAGTTTACAGGAGTCCTAGAACGGTGTTGAATGGAGGTGCTAAGAGTGGGGCATCCTTGTCATAGTCTAGTCTTCAGAAAGAAGCAATCAGGACTTCACGCCTGAGCATAGGTGTGTTAGCTGTAGGTTTGCGGTGAGCTGCCCTTTATCAGACAGACGGAGTTCCCGTTTATTCCCAATGTGCTGAGAATTTTTTAAATCTTTACTTGGTGTTGAATTTTACCAGATGCTTTTATGAATCTTTGAGGTGACCATGTGGTTTATCTCACTTGTTTTATTAAAATAGTGAATTACATTGATTATTTTGAAATGTTACATCAAGCTTGCGTTCCTGAGATAATTTCTGCTGGATTGTGATTTATATAACTTTTTGTATCAAGTTAGATTCAATTTGCTAATGTTTTGTTAGTGTTTTTGCATCCATGTGAGGGATTTTTTTGATAATTTTTTTTGATAAACCTGTCTTTGTCAGGTTTGAGTATCAGGGTCATGCTGGCCTCCAAACACAAGCTAGGAAAAGCCCCCTGCTTTGTTTTTGAAAAAGTTTGTGTAACATCGGTGTCATTTCTTCCTTGAATATTTAGCAGAAAAACCACTGTGGCCTGGAGTTTTCTATTCCATATTCAATTGTTAATGACTGTAGGGCTGCTCAGATTTTCTGTTCATCCTCTGTTCGCTTTTGGTAAATTGTGTTATTCAAGGTGTCTGTTTATTTGGTCTGATCTCTTGGCGTAAAGCTGTCCCTCGCCTTCTCTTACTGTCCTCATGCCTGTAGGGTCTGGCGAGGAGCCCCTTTCTTTCCTTGTGCGCCTTTTTTTTTTTTTTTCCTTTATCAGTCTGGCCAGTTGTTTATTAGTTTTGTTGTTTTCAAAGAACCAACCTTTGGCTTGGTTAAAATCTATTTTCTATTTTGTTGATTTCTGCTCTTCATTATTTCCTTCCTTCCATTTCTTTTGGGTTTTCCCTGCTGCTTTGTAGCATTATGAGGTTGAACCTTAGGTCTTGATTAATATGTTGTATTTTGTTGTTATTTAATTTAAAATGTTTTTAAATTCCCCTTGCCATTTCTTCTTTGAGCTACATGTCACTTGGAAGTGTGTTGTTTAAGATTAAATACTTGAGGGCCGGCCAAGTGGCTCAGTTGGTTAAGAGCTCGCTCAAGAGTTTGAGCTCTGAGCAACAGCGGTTCGAGTCCCTGCCCAAGCTGAGCTGCTGCTGAGCCGCCAACAGGTGGCAGGGTGGCTCAGCTAAAAAAAAAAAAACAAAAAAAAAAACTTGAGGTTTTCCTAGATATCTTACTGTTGGGTTTCTAATTTACTTCTATTAAGGTCAGGGACCATACTATGTATGATTTCAACCCATTTAAATTTATTGAAATTTAAGGTTCAGTATGTAGTATGTCTTGGTGATTTTTAAGATGCTGGATGTCATGTAAGTATCAGTTAGGTCATGGTTGATTGTGTTCTTCAGATTGACAGTGTTTTTCCTGGTCCTTTTTCTTTCTTTTTTTTTTTTTTTTTTTAAAGATCTTTATTGGGGGATGGGAACAGTGCTGGGGAATTGGGGGAGGGGAACAGACAAGTTGCTGTCTTTTTGTTCTTCAGTCTAGTTGCGGAGGACATTGCTTCACTGGCCCAAGTTGGCACCATCATTGTGCTCTTCCCGGGCGAGGCACATCAGTCGCCGGCCTCTGGATGGCCGCTCACAGCGGCTGCTGGCTGCTCATGCTGGCTGCTGGCTACACACGGTAGCCCATGGCAACCTACTGCTGCAGGGGCTGCAGCCTACACCATCGCCGGCGACTCACGGCAGCCCAGCTCCAGGTTGAGCTGTTGTTCAGCATCTTAGCTGTAGAGGGCAGTGTCACTGGCCCTCATATGTGGGATCCGAACCGGGGCCCTCTGGTGTCCCAAGCCAGTTCTTAACCATCGCGCCATTCGGCCAGCCCATCCTGGTCCTTTTTCTTTTCTTTTCTTTTCTTTTTTTTTTGTCAATTTCTGAGAGGTGTGTTAAGATTTTTGTAGCTGTGAGGCTTGTCTGTGTCTCCCTTTAATTCTGTCTTCATGTATTCTGAGGCTCTGTCTTTAAAGTGTGCCTTGCGCAGGTAGCATATGGTCGTGTCTTGCATTTTTATCCATTTTCACAATTTCTTCATTTTTTTGGTCGTTTTTTAGCTGGAGGCCGCTGGAGGGGTGATAGTAAATGCACGTGATTTTTATAGCCTCCTTGGGGCAGGACACATGCCCAGTGGAAAACTGCCCCTTGCCCGACGTGGGGCCACGCCCCACACCTGTCTGCTGCAGTGTGTCCTGCCTCTACGTCATGGTCCCCACAAACAGTATTGTGACTTGGTGCTTAGAAGCACTGCGTCGAGTAAAGTCCATCAGCTCTGTGGCTGCAGTTTTTACCTGTACTTTTTGGTGTTTTCTTCACATTTCCCTTGTAGATTAGCCTACCATGGCGGACCAGAGACAGCGCTCCCTCTCTACCTCAGGGGAGTCTCTGTACCATGTGCTTGGGCTGGACAGGAATGCGACCGCCGACGACATCAAAAAGTCCTATCGGTAAGAGGCCTACCGCATCCCTCCTGGGGGTTGGGCACGCCCCGGGGGTTTTCTTGGCACTGACCCAGAACTGCCGACTGCATTTCCCTGGGAAATTGCCTTTGCATGTGTGGTGTGTCCCTTTGTAGCTTACAACTGTTCCTTATACTTCTGTCTCCTTGGCAACAGTGAAGAGCACTTTGTAGTTGCTACAGACTGTGTGCCCTGGAGTGGACAGTTGTGCGGGGACCGGGCGTGAGCTGCTGGCTAGTGGGGCTGCAGGGCGTCAACAGTGGTGGCAGTGAGGGGCATGTCCTTCTGTGCAGCTCTGTTGACTGAGCTGTAAGAGACACCGTCGCTAATCCAGACGCCTCAGGTGGACTTCCCCTGTGTCCTCAGCAGTGTGTACTGACAAATGCACGCTCAGGGGCCACAGCACCCCACCTCACTTATCACTTCAATTGGCAAATTTGCAGTTAGCCGCCAGGACAGACGCGAGGGTTTGCCTGGTGCTGTGGGAAGTTCCCAGGGTGACCCTCTCTCCCCTGGGGACCCACTTCTCTGTGGATGGATTGGGCAGGGAGCTACGCCCTGAAATGACTGCAGAGATTTCTTTTGACCTTGCCCTTCTCGAATTCTGTGGAAAGTTGGAGAGTGCGATGGCAATGGGCAGGCGTGTCTGCGCTGGCCCATCTGTCCAGTGGATGGACGTGAAGCGTGAGGCTGAGACATGGCTTTGGTTTGCAGGAAACTTGCATTGAAGTATCACCCTGACAAGAACCCCGATAACCCCGAGGCCGCGGACAAGTTCAAGGAGATCAACAACGCCCACGCCATCCTGACGGACGCCACCAAGAGGAACATCTACGACAAATACGGCTCGCTAGGACTCTACGTGGCCGAGCAGTTTGGGGAGGAGAACGTGAACACCTACTTCGTGCTGTCCAGTTGGTGGGCCAAGGTGAGGGGCTGCTGCTGTCTTGGGCCCGGTAGGCTTTCCGATCTCACGGATGGGGCGTCCCAGGCCCGTGCTCCACACTCCTGAGCACTGATTTCTGGGCACGTGATGGTCTTTGTGTTCGTCCTCTGTGCATGTGGGCAGAGGTTTTGGCTCTCTGCCTGTAACACCAAATGCACAACGCCAGTGTGTCAGCACCATGTTCGCCCCGAGTCACCGTAAGTTCTCCAAAAGGTAGAGCCAGGACAGAGCATGGTGCCGTTGCGGGGCGGGGGGTGTTTTATTGCTGGGAAGACTCGTTGGAAGTCTCACTTGAGAAGCCTTTGCCGTATTCCCTTGTTTTCTTTTGTAACATTCCTCCTTTATCTTATGCCCCCGCCACAGGTTAGGCCGAGGCTGTGCCCGCTGGCGTGGCTCTGGGAGCAGGAAGCCCACCCTGGGCACCTCCTGTTGGGTGCGGTGCCCGTTCCCGCTGCTCTAGACTGTCCTCCTTCCGCCTCTGCCCTCCCTTTACACTGCGCAGTCGGCCAGCCACTGCTCTCACGTGGAGTGCCCGGGCGGCTCTGGGGGCCGTGCCCGGGGTGTGGGGACCACACCGCCAACCAGCTCCCCTGTCCCTGCAGGCCCTGTTTGTTGTGTGCGGGCTGCTGACCTGCTGCTACTGCTGCTGCTGCCTGTGCTGCTGCTTCAACTGCTGCTGTGGGCGGTGCAAGCCCAGGGCGCCCGAGGGTGAGGACGCCGACTTCTACGTGTCCCCCGAGGACCTGGAGGCGCAGCTGCAGTCGGACGAGCGCGGTGAGTGCGAGCTGGGCCGCGTCGTGTGTGGGGCGCAGCCGGCACGGGCCCTCAACGGTGTCACCTGTCTCGTCAAACAGGAGGGCACTGACACTGTGCCGGGAGTGTGTGTGGTGGCAGCTGGGACTGTTGAGGTGTGAACTGGACACCGAGGTAAAAGCAGACGCACAGGGCCGTCCCTGCCTTCACCGTGGTAGCGTAGTTCCGAGGGATCGAGGAGGGGGCGGGCCGCGCGGGCTGGCGGTGGCCTGAGGTGACTGTCTGGAAGGCCATGCTGGGTGGAGGTCAGCAAATAGCCTCTCCCCTCCAAGTGCTTGTCCCGCGACCTCTGGCCCAGTAGAGCGACCAGGCGACGGAGCGTTGTCATCGGAGGACGGTGCTGTCAGGGGCCAGACGGCGAGGCTGCCGTCCTCGTGCAATGAACACGCGTGTGATTGCTTTTCAGAGGCCACAGACACGCCGATTGTCATACAGCCAGCGTCTGCCACAGAGACCACCCAGCTCACGGCCGACTCCCACCCCAGCTACCACACCGACGGGTTCAATTAAGCCCAGGAGCAGCCGTGACGGGAGACGCCCGCGCCGGCCACGTCAACCTTAGGATCATAAACTGTAGTCCCAGCGTGGGGGGGCCACCGCGCCGGGCTCCCCGACCCCTGCCACGTGAAGCGCGTAGCATGCCGTATTTACAGCCGTTTAGCTACGTCGTTGTCTTCTGTGTCTCCTTTCTAAGCATGTACGGGGTCACGCTCCATGTCTGTCTGCGCTGCGAGTGGGGTGCAGTGTGGCTGCCCTGGCCGGATGCTGGAGCCTCCCAGGCTGCTCCTCCCCTGTGCCCCTGGGGCTGCGGTGGGGGCTGCCCCAGCAGTGTGGCCAGCCACGGGCACGGCCCGCCAGCGCCCAGCGTTGGTGGCGAGGACAGTTTGCTCAGGACCTGCTCGCCTCATGTGCGTGGCCGTGTGGTGGGGTTTTTCCCATGGGTGAGTTTGTTGGTGTAGGAGGCTCCTGGCCTGAGACCATGTGGTCTGCCTGTGTCTGGCCTGAGTCCCCAAGTCACAGGGACCCAAGGCCCCTGTCCTTCGAGTGTTACCCCAGGCCACAAGCTGGACGGACAGGGCCCCCCTTCTCTGCATCACCCTCCACATTCCTTCAGGCCCACGTGGCCTCTTTAAAATCACGTCTGGACTTCAGAACCACAAGCAGTAGCAGTGGTCCAATTAATCGTAGTCAGAGGGGCTGGGGGCCCAAGTTGCTGGTGGCACATGGCTGCATGGCCCCTCTCAGCCCCCCCACTCCCCACCCCACCCCCTTTCTTCAGCTGCTCCCTTCGGCCTTGCTGATGCTTCCGGCAGAGCTGGGGCCGTCAGCTTCCTGGGGGAAGGCCCAGCAGGACCGAGGGTGCACTCTGGCCTAGCAGGGTTGGGGTCCGGGAGGCCCTAGTGTCCTTGGGCTTGTTAGGCAGCAGCCGGACCACAGGAGCCTCACCACTGTTGCGAGCAGCCCCTTTTGTGAACTGCTGGAAGTCGTCTGTCGTGTCTATGTCCCAGACCTTGTGGGTGGTGTCCCTGCTGCGGAGACAGGAGGAACAGGGGTTGTGTTGTGCCCGTGCCAGCATACTGCATGTGCTGCTCGCTGCTGGACCTGAGCCGGCCGCTGGAGACCCGAGCGGACCAAGTGGGCCTGGTTTCTGCAGCATGAACCTAGTGGCCGCTGCTGAGCATCCCTGGGTTTCCAGGAGAAAAGCACGAGCTGGAGAAGCTGTGCAGTGGCAGTTCCCTGGCTCAGAGAGGGACCAGAACGCGTCCCTGAAGCCTCTGTCCTCACTCGCTGCCCTTGCCTGCCCACTCAGGGCCATGCAGAGGGCAGGCTGACGTGGCCAGGACGTGGCTGTATGGGACAGCAGTGTCAGGACAGAACGGACACTCTGAAAGCAGTGCCCCCGGCCGAGCACTCTTGCAGGCTGGCATTGGGACCTGGGGCTGGGTTTGTTTTCTGCCCATGAAAAGGATCACAGAGACATTCGATGAGAGGGGGGCTATGCACTGTGATGCGAAATTAGAAATATGCTGAAATCAGGCCTCATAAAAGGATATGAAATTCATTGATTCACACACACACCCCCACCCCCCACCCCCAGGCACAAGGGAGGAGGCGAGACAGGGGCATCTTCTCTGCTATTCAGCGGAGCAGCTGCAGGATTCAGCGAGAGCTGTAGGCCGGAAGCAGCCTTTGTGATGTTTCTGGGAATACCTTAGGAAATGAGTTCTTTTTCCCCAGAGTGGCCAGGAGCCCGGCTTAAGCCTCGCAGTCCCTGTGCTGTCCCTGGGGCCTGGCCTCAGCCCAGCCACGACCCGTCACATGTCACTGAGTCGCTTGCCAGGTGTCTGTTGATCTTTTCCTAGACACACAGGCTCCCCAGGGGCAGGTCTGATGGAGTTTGTGAATAGCAGATCGTCGTGATGACGATGGTGACGGCCTTTGCCTGAGGCCTGGTACCCTAGGACCCCTTGCCGTTTTCCTCGGATTTCTGTCAGGTCCCCGTCCTGGTTCAGGACACAGACCCCTAGGCACATTTCCTCTCTCGTGTGGTCAGTGTCCCTGCTGCGCAGAGGTGAGCCGGGAGAGGCACCCCTGTTGGTGTGTAAGGGGGGTGGGGGGCGACCTCTGCCTCACTCGGGGCTCCCCAGAGTCGGGGCCACGTGTGGTCAGTGCTGGCATCGGTGCACGATGAAGCCTGTCCTTTTTGCCGAGGGCAGGGCTTGCCGGGCACCGGAGCAGCATGCCTATCGGCCAGGCAGCACTGGCCACGCGTGGCCGGCTGTGGCTGCTGCGTGTAGGTTTGCTTCCGCTCAGTGATGTGCTCGTGTCTTCCTTTCAGCTTCCTTCTCGTTTCAAACTGCGTCCAACGTGGCACTAAGTGTTGCGCCTTCCTAGTTAGCTGTCCGGGCGGTCAGGGCGCACGCCCAGGCACTGGCAGGAAGGCAGAGCTGGGGGCCCTGTCTGTCCTTCCCTGGCTCTCGGCGCGTCTTGCCAGGAGACGAAAAAGTCACTGATCTCATTCCTTTCTCATGTTCTGAGCTGTGAACCCATGTGACACAGGACTGACGTTTTGTTTTTGTCACTTTGGTTGTGACCCATCCTCCTGTGGAATTGGTGAAGCTCCGTTTTACAGCCCTTACCAGCATGGTGGGACGTTTGCTGTGGGTGTGGGCGGTGGGTGTCCCCGTGTGTCCTTGGTGTGTGTGTGGGCTCCACAACAGCCTCCGGCCCCTTGGCGAGCTGGGCAGGAGCAGGGTCCCTGAGACCTTTGCTGGGGGCACGGAAGGGAGCGCGGTCCCTGCCGTGTGCCTGGCGCCTGAGGGCACTGTGGGGAACTCGCCTGCCAGGGTCAGGCACCAGGGCTGCTGGGGTGCTGAGTGTCTCTGTGTGACATCTAGGAGGTGGCTGGAAACCCTTTCCTCCCTTGAAACTTTAAACCAACTTTGTAAGCATCAGGTACAATCAGTGACAAAGCTGCATTCTAAACGGGTCTCTGTCCTGGCCACACACAGGTCGGCCCAGGGGCCGGTCCTGCAGGCAGCACCTTTCAGTAGATGGTTTCACTGGGAAGTGGGGTCGTGTTTCACGCTAAGTGAGGGGGGCAGTTTATAGTGAAATATATTTACATTGTTTTTAAGAACTTACGTGTAAATGCATGGAAAGCTGTCATCCATGCCCGTTTTGTCCTGTGACTGGAACCCGACTGCGGTGGGGGTCCCTTGTGCCCTGCCACCCACGTGCGCACCGAAGGGCCCGGCTGGAGGGTTGCGGTGGTTTCCCATGGTGACCTCCGTCTTGTGTGTCTGAATGTTGACTTAAAGATAACTTGTAAAATAAATGTTTTCACTGCGGAGCAGGCGTGTGTCTTACTGAACAATCCCTGCAGAATCCTGTTTTGGGCGGTCTTGCACTGAGGGGGCTAGAACCCTACTCCACCTGCTTGGTCCAAGTGTGGACAGACACCCCTCCCCTCGTTTTCTCAGTGTTCACGGGAGTGAAGAAGGAAAGCGTGATCTGTGAGACCCGTAAGCCAAGGGCAGCTTGGTGTGTGGGTTCTGCAGCCCCCCTGGGACATGTCCAGACAAGGCGGTGCCCTACAGCACTGTCCCCTTCCCCCCAGACAGCAACACCCTCCTTGCTGCCAGGTAGTGACTGTCCAGCCTGGTGAGCTGGGCCACTCATGTCTGGACAGCAGGCCCACCGATGTCTGGACAGCAGGCCCACCTTCAGCTGGCAGCACAAGGCGGGGGATGGGGGTGGCAGAGGAGGCCTGGTGCAGGCCGGCCAGCCCCTCCCCTCCCAGGACAGTTGCCAGCATGTGGTCGGGGCGGTGGCCGTCACAACTGGGCCTGTGCTCTGTGCCAACCCTTGGCTTCTCCATCTGTGTCAGCCTCTGGTCCTGGCCATTCAAGGGCAGGCTTCCTGGGCTTGTCCCCTGCCTGCCCCACCCAGGGCATCCTCATGCCTGGACACCATCGTCCCGCCTTCCTGGGTCATCTGCAAGCTGGTGGTGACCCAGCACTGCAGAGGGTACTCCTGGGAAGGGCTCAGCCTCCCACCTGGCCTGGCAGTGGTCACAGTCCCCAGGAGTTCCTTCCCCACCATGATGGCAGGGGACAGCCCGGCACCCCGAACTCAAACCACCTTTGTGGCTGTGTCTTCACCCCTGAGATAAGCACCCATCTCAGCCTTTTAGAGGCAGGTGTGTGTGACCCCAGGGGTTTGCGTCCAGTCACGTTCCCGCTCTGTTCCCAGGCGGGTGGTACCCTGCCAGTGCAGCTGGCACTGACGTGAGGCTCAGGCCTGGGGACCCTGGCATCAGGACGGAGAGGCCCATGGGTTGTAGGCAGCAGCTGTCTCCAGAAAACCTGGTCACAGGTGCCCCCGTCCACCATGCCCTTTAGGTTAACGTCCCTTCACACCTGCCCCCCAGAAGTGCTTGGTTTTCCTTCTGTGCCCTTGGTCTTAGCTCAGGGCAGTGCAAAAATATTCTGAAAAAATTAAAGCAGCGTGAAAATACTAAGTAATGTAACAAATACCTTGAGATGGTTTGGAGATGAGAAATCAGGAGTGGTTTGGTTTAGGATTTACATTAAAGGAAAAATGACGTGAAAACCTGTTTGTACCTCTCTCCCAGCCCGTGTCCCCTCCCAGCGGTGGCCACTAGCTCGTCAGTCGCTTTCTGTCCGTGGTTTTAAACCCTGCCTACCAGTGTCAGCGTCCGTGAATACACGTCATTGAGTTTTAAAAGGTTCCATGGGCCGTTAGCACTGCCCTGGATGGGTGTCCGCAGTGTGTGTTCTAGTGAAAACAGGTGACTATGTGTTGGTAGTGCGGGTGGCCTCACAGCGTCCAGACCACCTGGGACGTGACCACCAGTCCTGCCGGCCTTGCTGGTGGGGCACCTGGGGTTTTAGGTTTTCTCTGGAAGCGGAGCTGCCCTCCCAGCCTACCCCCAGGCGCGCAGGCGCGCTGCGGTCCCTGAGCACTGAGCGGCAAGCCCTTGACTGGTGTCCCCAAACTGCCTTGCAGAGTGGCCCTGCGGTCTTCCCGCGGCCCCACAGGCCCTTGCGCTCCTCCCTCCCAGGCAGACGCTTTCCCTGATTCTTGATTTTCTTAAGTAGGGAGTACCACGCTTATTTTCAGTATTTCCCACGTGGGGTTCTTACAGAGAACCCAAGTGACAAGCCTCCGCCCCTCCTGGCCTAGGGCCACCGCCCCACCTGCACCGTGTCCAGGGCCGCGGACCGGGGTGAATGGGGCTTCAGGAGATTCCCACGGTCCGCCTGGCGCCCCACCACCTGCCAAGAGCACGACCAGGGAACTAGTGTTGGGGCGCGGGGGCGTGGTCTGCCGGGAGGGGCGGGGCCTGCCCGAAGCCGGCTCCCCACCCCCACCCCGCATGGCGTGTGCTCTCCTGCGCTGAGACCCCAGCTGACTGGTCCCCGGGGTCTCCCTGGGCTAGACCACCAGGAAGGGCCGCCCGGAAACCGCGCCCCAGGTCCGGGGTCAGATGCCCAGCAGGTGGCCGTCGCAGTCAGTCGTGAGTCACGGCGGCGGCGGGGACAGGCAGGGGTCTGGGGACCCGGGACGCCAAGGCCATAGGAGGACTTCTCGCTCAATAACGTCGGCGAGCCGGCAGGACTTGGAGACACGGGCGACCTGGCTCCCAAGGGCGCGCGGGCCGCGGGGGTCTGGAGGCGTCCCCGGCGGCAGCTGCCCACGCGAAGCAGCGTCTCCCGGAGCATGTGCAGCGGCAGCTGCGGCGCTCTGGGCCCCTCGTCCCGGGTCAACATCAGGGTCCGTGCCAGCATCACCGCGCCGGGAGACCCGGCGCCCTTCCGTTCTGGTGGTGGGGCCGCCCCATCCCCAGCCCGCCCATCCCCCCACTCCAACTCCTAGAGGAGTGGACACCCTGCTTCAGAGGGACCCCCTGCTCCCACCCAAGATGAACCCTGCCGGGCACCCCATTTCAGCCATGGGTTCCCCAGAGCTCGGGGAATGGCGGGGACACTTCCTCCAGTGCCTGGGACCAGGGCTCCCTCCACCCCAATAGGCCCCTGCACGTCCTGGTCAGGGACACACATGCCGGAGGTTGGGAGCCAGAGCCTACCCCACCCCGGCCATGTGGCACCAGAACCACTCTTGGCCCCCAACTGGAAACTGGTTGGTAGTCAGATGCGCCAAGGGACCCCGGAGCAGTGCTCACCTGCAAGGTGCTCGGCCTAGCTGATGTCACCGCTGGAGTTCCCATTGCTCCCAGCCCAGTCCCTCCTCAGGGCCCCATCCTGTGGGGTCACAGACTTGGGTCCCTGCTACCTGTGTGTGAATTGCCCCATTCTCACCCTCTAACCCAAGCACAGCCAAAATCCACCTGCTGCCCACTGCCCAGCCACCTCCGCCCTCGGAGTCCTCTGCTCCTCCACTTCTGCTCCCCTCAAATTCTCAACCTGACCATGGACAGCCTGAAAATCGCAGCCTCCAGCCACAGGCCTGGAACAGGGCCCTGGAGCCCAGGCAGTGGATGCTCCCGGTGGCCCAGGTGAGGCGCCCTGAGAGCCAGGTCCTTCCCCAGGCCCTTCCAGACCCTGCTGCTGCTGTGTGCATTGGGCATGTGTGAGCTGCTGAGTCAGCGTGACAACCATATGTGCCTAATGCTGGGTTTGGGCCCCATCCGCTGTCCCAGAAGGGGTGCCCCTGGCTTCCCATCCCGCCAGGCCAGGGCCTTCTTCCTCGCCCTGTGGCAGCCGCTGCAGGGGAGGGGGCAGCACCTCGCGGGCTGACGAACCTGAGATTGACCCTGGAGACACCATTCTCAAGTTGGACAGTCCTGGAGGCACTGCCCAGGGGTAGCTGGCGGAGCCCTCGGCAGACGGGTTCCCCTCAGAGACCCTCACCCTGAGTGTCACAAAGGCTTCTGGGCAAGTACAGGGAGGGAGCTCCAGCTCTGTATCCCACCCACCTCGCCCTCTCCCATCCTCACAGCTCCCCTCTCTCCTCCACCCCCGGCCCCCAGATTCCAAGAAAGGCAGCACAAGAGCCCCCTAGCTCCTAGCCCCCAATCAGCCTTAAGCCCTGATGTGTCCAGCGGCTGTGCAAAGCACTGCTCCAGGAAAGTCTGTTTCTGGGCCTGAGAGGCTCCTGGGGGTCAGAGGAATTGCTCTTCTCCCATTGGCACCCCAGAGACCCTCCCCCATGGCTGTTCACCACCCCACGGGGCCCTGGCAGGAAATGGGCTGAAGAGGTCCCCTATCGTGTAGCCTGGCGTCCCTGAGCTGCCGCTGATGAGAGGACCCCAGCTGGAGAAGGCAGGGCTTCTGGTTCAGGCCTTCTGCCTCCAGGCTCTGCCCTAGGGCCCCACTGACCCTCAAGAAGAGGGCAGAGGCCATCTGCCCCCAGGGGCCGGTGGCTGGGTGAGGCAGGGGCAGCTGGCTCCTCTCCTGACACACACGTGCGCACGTGTGGATGTGCTCTGTGCTGCTGCACCAGACGTGTGTGGGGGTGTTGGTGCATGCATCTGCGTGTGTGGGAGCTCGTGGGATTCGTCAGCCCCAGCTAGACTCTGGTGGACCTGCCCAGGAATGACCCGGCCCTGCCTGGCTCCTCACCAGCTGTTTGCCCCAGTCTTCATCTAGGAAGAACTGGCCGGACAAAATGGCACCTTCCCCACCTCATGGCCCCTTCACACCTGCTGAGCAGGGTCAGGCCTGGGGCAGCCTCCAGGTTCCAACACAGCACAAGAATGAGTGAATGAATGAATGGGGACCCCGCAGACACGGGAGAGGGATTCACTCACCAGGATGGGGAGAAGCCCTCCTGCTGACCTCTGAGCCCGCGTCAGTCCTCTGTCCCCGGTGCCTGGCCACCCTGTGGACAAGCCTCCCGCCTTTATCTGCCCGCCCTTGGCCTGGCCCCCCCCACTCAGTGACTTCCTGTCTCCACCCCACGACAAGCTTTTCCATGACATGGCCTTTGTGGAAGGGGGTGGGACCAAGCAGACCAGGAGGGCAAGAAAGAGGCCAGAGCCAGGGCTGGAGGGAGGGTGGCAGAGGTGGGAGACGGGCACCCGACAGCCCACTTGCGGCCAGGACATTCGCACCGTGCAAACCTCCCACAGGCAGGCCTGCCACACACCGGCCACGTGAGGGGCCAGAGGAGCCTCCCCCTCAAGCCCAGCAGCAGTGAGAGCAGGGCTGGATGAGGGCTTCTGGTCCTCAAAGGAGGCAAGGCTGGGCCGCTGAGGCGCCGGCCACCTCTCCTAGAACCGGGGCTCCTGCCAGTGGCCAGGACGTGCTCATCACGCCCTCCTACAGCCGCCCACACACCGATTTCCGCTGGGCTGGCTGCCTGATGGTACAGACCTGTGGTAGGGTGGGGGGCGGCTGTGGAGGATGTCCCTGTGAAGACCCAGGGCCCTAGGTCCAGGCCAGGTGGCCACCAAAGGGCCCATGTAACAAAGCCAGGACTGCAAGGAAAGCCTGTCCTGACCAGGACATAGCAGAAGCCAGGCCCCTGGACTCCACCCCTCTCCATGGCGGCCTCGTGGGGACTCAGGCAACCCAGCAGCTGGCAGCCTTGGTGGCCACTCCCCAAGCCCGGGTCCCAGGTAGACCGCCAACCACGCCCCCGGCTCAACAGTCACCGCTTCATTTTTCCTAAAGCTTTATTTATATAAAATGTATCGAATAAGTTACAATGGTAACAAATAAGTTAACGTCTCTGTCACGGGCCAGGAGGCAGGCGGAAGTTGGGTGGGGCTGGGGGTGGGAAGAAACTGCCACCAGCTAACTCGCCCAGGCCACTTCCTCCTCGTCACTGCCGTCTGGGGCTGCGTCTGTCCCAAAGTAGCGGTCGCCAAAGTTCCCTAGAAAAAGCAGCAGGCCCTTGTGTTGGGGACTCTGGTCCACCCGGTGCCCAGGCCCTGCACACCCGGCCTCGGCAGCCTCACCGATGCCTGGGATGATGCGAAACAGGTCGTTCACGCGCTTGTCCACCGCTGTGGTGATGATTCTCACGCGTGGGAACGCGTAGGCCACCGAGTGAACGCCCATCTCCGCCATGAGCAACGACAGCAGGAAGATCTTGTCCTCGGGCACATCGTGGTCCTGCGCCAGAAGGCACGGGGTGAAACATCCCAACCGGCCCGCGGCCCGCCGCTGCCCACGCCCACTCACCAGGAGCACGCGCACAGCCATCATGGCCGCAGCGCCCGTGGACACGGTGCAGTCCATCAGGATCACGTGGTCGTCACTGATGTCCTTGGGCAGCCGCAGGTAGTGGAGCTGCGGGCAGCCACAGCATCAGGGCCGCCCCGCGGACGCCCGCCCCGCCCCCCACCGCGCGGGCCGCCCGCACCTCCGGCTCCCCGGTGAGCTGGTTGGTCTGGATGAGGATGGTGCCGATGCGCACGTCCTTGCACACGGCCCGCAGCGCGGGCTCCATGGTCTCGCCGGCCCGCAGGATGGACACGCCGGTGATCTGGGGGGGGAGCGGAGCGGGGGGAGGGGGCTGAGCGGTCCGCACCCCGCCTCCCCACCCCGCCCCAATCCTGCCCCCGCCGGTACCTGCTTCCCGGCGTAACATTTGCCCGCGTAGTCCTGCCCCTGCGGGGTCTGCACCACGCAGTCCTGCGCGCACAGCAGCGGAGGCGCTGGTGAGCACCAGGCGCCGCCCGCCGTCCCGGTCCCCACCCCCACCCCAGATCCGCACCTGGAAGGGCAGGAAGGACAGCGCGTGCTCGATGAGCAGCCGCATGAGTCTCTTGGAGTAGAAGATGAATTCATCCCGGCTGGTCTCCTTGTCCCTGCGGGCCGTGGGGGTCAGCAGAGGGGGCCCACCCACCCAC